GAATGTTCTCTTTGGTTGTGCTGGCGGGTAGCTCGGGATGTTTCCAGCCTTTCCGCATCTGCGGGAAGCTTTGCCTGTGTTTTTTTCTCTACAGGTTAGACTTCTGGCTGCTCGTTCTGATGGGCATTTTCTATTTGCCAATGACTCTAAATGCAGATTGTAAAAATCAGGCTTTTCAGTGTACAGGCTACCTGACAGGAGGAATTACGAGGGGGAAATTACAGAACAGCAAGAATGGTGGGCAAGAGGAGGCATTATTTAACTCTTCTTTTTTCTGTGTGTTTCTTTCTTAAAGGCAATTATGCAGATTTTACACAGGGTAATTTTTACTTTTTATGTAGACCCTTCTATAGGATAACAGACACCTGAGAAACATGTATCAGGGCACACTACAGCATGAATGCATTCCTGGGGTTTGTGTGGAGTTCTAGTTTTTTTTCAGGCAAATAGGGTCTATATCTCTGCTATTTAGCTCCTTTACTACAGAAAAGAAAAGCCAGCTTGGTGGGTTAAGAAGCTAAAGGCTGGATAATATGGATAATAATGTATCCATGGCTATATGCATCTTCTAGTGCCAGCTTGACAGCTTGGCCCTGTCACAGCCAAGAAAGGCCACTTTTGTGCAGCTTGGTTTGTGTCATCGAATGCAAACAAAGGACTGTTATGCTGTGAACTTGCATCTGTTGAACTGAAACCACTGACTAGTTTCATCAGATTGATCTTTTCTTCTTCCATACTTGTTCTCCACTCTCACTATTCTCCTTAAATTTTTCTGGTCTTGAGAATAAAACATTCAACATTCGATATGTTGTCATCTTAACACGGAGCTACTACCTATGCAGAAGACCAAATCCCGTGGCATTTTAAGGCAACGTGGCTTACTGAAAGGGAAGAAGCTGCTCCCTCACAGCTCAAACTGAAGTTCCCTTTCTGCAGGTGACCTGTAACTGTGTGGGGAGGAGATGCTTAGAGACAAAGTGTAGGAGGAAATCACTTAACTGGAGGGCAGGAATTAATCATAGAGTGAATTTGGAGAGCATGAAAGGTGATACACTTGCTTTCCCAACAGTGGGAAACTAATTGTCTGATGTACATTTCTCTTTTGCTTCACAGGTACGTGTAAAGTGAATTTTCCCGACCCAAACAAGCTTCATTACTTTCAACTAACTGTAATCCCAGGTAATTTTTAAAAAGCATGTTAAGTTTCTGTTTATGTTGGTGTTGATGAAACATAATTCCAACAGTTTAGTCAAGAATGAAATAAACTTTCTGGTCAAAGGAAGACTGGCTGTAATACAGTGATTATTTTATAGAGCAAATGGAGAAACTGGGCTGGATTTTGAGAACTAGATTCAAAAAAAAGGCCATCAAAATTAAGCATGTGTAGGAAATATTCAGGCCTTGTTTGCTTACTTTGATTTAAAACTTTTTTTCCTCTTGGCCAATTTCAAACCACCTTGTTTTATTTGCTGAGAAAATTCCTGGACTACGCCTACAGAAATTATTGTATTACACCCTGTTATGCTGCAGATTTATTCTGTTCTACTGATTGATTCTGCAGAGGTGAAGAGATAGATGACATATATAATACTGTGTGATGTCTGTGCGTGGCTGAAGGTGCATAAATTAGAAGTCTTTTGGTCTTTGAATAGGTGGAAATTTGATCTTTTATTATTAATACAATAAAGTGAAGCTTCTGCTGGCCTGCTGTTCAATAAAAACACTTTCAGAATTTACCAATTCTGTGTAAGTTTCTTAATAACCATCTGTAATCACAGGGTTTGGTCAGGTAGCTGGCCATCTTAGAATAGCAAGTTGTATTTGTGTGTTATGGATGAATTTTCATGGCAGATTGTTTAAACTTTGCATGCGCTGCTGCTTTTTGCTGTGTATTACCTTTGAGAGACTGCAGCTGCTGAAATGAACATGGACATCTGCACTGCACTGACTTGTTTTAGGTGTGTTTGGATCGGTATCTCCCTGCCAACTAATTCCTGCAGGTGTGCGTTTGCTGTGGGTGCTTCTTGAGAACAGAATTCGGGTGCAGCGTGGCAGTCATCCTGATGGCTTACCTGTGAAAGTAATGGTTTACACTGGAGAAGGTGGTGGGAATGTTTCTGATAAACCAGGATCTCGCAGCCAAGCGGGCACTAGGTGTCACTGTTGCTGCTGATGAACCAAAATCAATTAGCGCTTCCTCGGCAGTAGGAATCTTGGGTGGTCTTTCTTAACATGGCCATTCATGTGACTCCGTTTTGTGATGGAAAACTGAGTAAGGCTGCCCTAGTCAGTGTAATAAAAAATAAATGCAAGTGTTATTGTGGAACTTTTAACCTCTCATTCTGTGTAGGAGATGCATTCGTGCTTACTTGGTGCATGCTAGTCTGCTCGTACCAAATCTCCTTCAGTTTATATGAGGCTGCCTTATTATATTTTTGGAAATGAGTTGACTTTATGAGATCATCACTGTGCAAGTTAGGGATGTCTTGAATGTGAAGCAACAATAGCTTCTTCATGCAAACTCTAAGTTGTCTAAATACAGTCTTATTTTTTGTCTGTCCCATGCTGCGGAGCAAGATGTTGCAGTCAGAAGACAGTCTTTGAATGCAGAACATGATTTTTGTGCTAGCTTCATTGCTGAAATGATCTTGGGAATGCGATGATCTTAATTAACATTTTGTTACTCTAAATATAGCTGCACAGCTGAAGTCTCTGCAGTTGCAGTCTGACCGAAGTAAACATCTATTTTCAGCTGTGAATAATTCAGGTGCAGAGTCCTGTGATCAGCTACAGCTTAGCATGGCTCTCGAAAGGCAGAACCTAACACGTACCAGTGAAAATCTTTGTAGGTTTCTGCTTTCCTTTATTACTGAGGTTTTTCTTTAGAGTACGCCAGGTCTTCATTTTCTCTGGGATAGCAGAGAGACATCTAAGTGGTTGTCACAGAATTTTTCTGGCTCGAAAGGGCCAAAATCTGTGCTTGAGGCAACTATGTTTGTCGCATCTATAAACAGTGATACGTGAATCTTGACAGTCTAGAAGAGCCAGTTTTCCTCCTCCTGCCTGGAACTTTCTTGCACTGGGGAGCTGAGTTACTTCTAGAAATTCTGCTCATAAATCTGGCTCTTCAGGGATCGCTTTGCAAATATCTCAGCAGTTTTCCAAGGGTGGAACAAGAGCTGGGCTCAGCACAGTTGTGACTGCTGGGGAGTAGCTTTTGCTTGAATTGCAGATCTCACTGGTAGGAGCTACTAAGTGTGCGTAAGCCAGGTAGTCTGCAAAGGAAAGAGGTTCTTGGTTTGCTTATCTGCAGTTGCAGAGATTGCATTTTTATGTGACAGTTCTGGAAAAGGGATACTAATGATATTAATTTTTCGTGTTTAAGTTCTTTTATACTCTGATTAACATTAGAGCCTGAATTCTGTAACCCTGTTTTATAAGGAATCTTACAGCAAGAGAGTGTCTGAAAGTGGCTGGCTGTCCAGATTCCATGAAGGTACTGACTGAACATGTGTTTTAACACTAAAAATGCCTTTTTTGGTCAGCCTTCTAGCCTTATGTTACTAACAAAGCCTGTTCTTGGTTGCTTTGTTTTAGGCAATCATTTAAAATGTGGCTGGATTTGAAAGGGCAATGAAAAAAGCTTCTTTTGGTTCCCACAAAAAGATTAGTTTGAATAAGAAAAGACATACTTTCGGCTCCCTTGCTTTCTCCTTCTCACAATAACCTTTCTCAGTAATTACTTGTTGTCACAAAATTATCCTGGTGACAGTGAGTTTTAAATTAAAATTAATTTGTAGAAAATCTTGATGAGGGTGACTGCTTATTTTACATAAAGTTACTTGTCCTCCAGGAGTTCCCATTCCTTTGTTACATCCTTCTGTAGTGAACAATGAGTGGATATACAGTAGCAAATGCTAGAAAATGGGTAAGACTTAAAATTTTACTGCCACAAAGGATGAACTATGTGTTCCCAAGGCAGATACTACTGGCTTTCTCTGCCATCTGAAGCTTCTTTTTCCTTTTGTCACCTGAAACAATCATCCTGTTGTTGAAAAATGTCTTTATGCCACCCCTGGCCTCTGTTCCTATTTTTGTGCCAGTACTTTACTGGATCAAAAGCTAGGAAAAATGAGATAGGTGATTATAAGATGAGCAGTCTCTTGCCTGCTGCACTGGTATTTGGAGCACAAAATTGTGAGCTGAGGCTAAGACTTGATAATGACCTGTTTAAAAAAAAAAAAAAGTAGGTGAGCTTATGTAGCTCACACCTGAAGAAAACTAGGAGGATATGTAGAATTAATAGAATTTTCCTGCCGTTACCAGACAGGAGGGGTAGTTTGGGGTTAGTGTTATTCTCTTAGAGTCATGTTCTTCAAGGAATTAATAAAGAGCCTGTTTTCTGGTTTGCACGCTGTAAAATGGCAAATGTTGGTGAGCATGGCTGAGCATTTCAGTGCTGCTTGTTCAGGGCACTAATATCAAAAGCACATCCTTTGTGGCCTGTCCTAATTATCTTGCATTTTCTTTTCAAGTAATGAAAGCATTTAGTTTAGTATTTTCACAGCACTTTTAGCCATCAAAACACCTTACAAATGCAACTGAAGATTGGAGTCTGGTTGTTGATAATGAAACTTGAAACTGAAGTGGGAGGGACGCTTGCTCTGTTAATATAGCTCGAAGACATAAATTTAAGTAGTAGGAGGAAAACTGGAGCTCAGACATATTCCCTTTTTGCAAGAGTCTTGTCAGTGGCCAACTTCCTGAGTTATGTGCTAAAGCTATTTTGACTGTTGTATTTATAGCACTTTCTTCACTAGTAACTTGGGCAGAACTTCAGTTTTTCCCACCACTGTTACATGCCTGAAAAGTTGAGTGTCTTTGTCCCAGTCTATATGGATGTTGTGGGACGCAGGGAAAGAAACTACCATGTGGGAGAAGCTACTTACTGACTTGAGATGCAGTAAGATGACTTCATGATGAAGGCTTATCCTGCTGCTGCATTGTGAGATTTCTGCCTGTCCAGAGAGGCTCTCCAGAGAGAGGAATTTTTAATATATGTTTGAGTGAGTGATAATGAGGAGCATGGGGTTTTGTTGTTTCCTGAAAAGATATACAAATATACAGGAAGAATTGTAGAAAAAAAGGGGAGGAGAGATGCTTTGCTCTTCTGATTTGGTTAAGTATGTCCTTGCTTATTTTATAACGGAACCAAGAGGTTATCCAGTGTACTTTTTGGTTAGTGCCAGCATGGACTGATGCAAAAGTAAACCTAAACTAAAGAACTTCTTCCTACAGTCTAATGTGGATCTACCCTGCTCTAGTTTAAAACCATTGCCCCTCATCCTATTGCTGCATGCCCTTGTAAACATCCCCAAGCTTTCCTGTCTTAGCCTGTACTTGCAGGAGAGGTTGTAGTGCAAGATGGTGATGAGTATTGATTTGTCTTTGAGGGAAACTCAGTCATGTAAGTATGTGGGAGTGGCCTGTGTTGTGAGGTGCAATGTCTGAAGTGCTTTAGGACTTCCAGGGAGTTTTCAGCATTATGAAGAACACAAAAAAAAAAATAAAAGAAAATGGTAGTAATACTTGAGGACTTTCTTATGGCCTGTGGAGGTGTTAATACATGGTTAGAAAGTGCCTGAGCACTTTCTAAAATGTGCTTGCAGAGGAAATAAGGGTGTTCTTTCACCATCTGGTCCTGCGACTTCTGCTGACACTGGTGATAATTTAACCCCTTTGCACACCGGTCATCTCAGCAGTCCTGCCAGAAGCTCTGCACTCCTCTTGCCGTGATGGTTTTATGGAGCAAGAAAGTGCTTGTGCCCCTCAGCTGAGCTCACCTGGTCTGATTTCATCCTGCGCATGGACACTGGGGGGATCTGCTGTGGCTGGGTGGAAGTGGAGCTATCCTGAGATAGGTCTGTGTGGCGAGGAAGAGTAGAGAAAGCAAAGATCTCTTCAGCTTTCCCCCCGCTGCCCTGTCCACCTCTTGGTCTATGTCAGTGATCTTGCTGTCTGTGCCTGGAGTTGAGGGCGTGCCTTAATGTTCCTGCATACTGCAGAAGCTGTGGGCCTGGTGCTTTCAGTGTGCAAAGAGATGTGGAGCGTGGTTCTTCCCTTGCTGCTTGACTGGTGGGAACCTGACAGTCTTTTGGCAAGCTCTCCTCCCTTGGAGCCGTTCGTGAATGTTTCTTCTGGAGAATTGTATTGCAGTGAGGATTCATTAAATCTTAGGATTTTCTGTGGCGTAAGGCACATGTAGATACACCCATCAACAGGCATCTCTTTCATGTTAGCTGAGGTGGAATACGAAGAGCTGCTGCTCACTTTTCTCCAAGTCTACAAAACCAAGTGACTATTGAGATTAAGCCAAGGAAAATAACTTTCTACAGCTGGACTTCCTGAGCAACCTTAACAGTATTGGTGTTTCTCCTTTACCTTGCTGTACTAGCAGCAGGCTTCTCCCTGTCCAGACACACGTGGGCCTTTCGTGTGGTTGTTTATGTTGGGAAGTTACTGCTTGACGAGTGCTTGTAGGTGGGAGGGTGGTGAGGAGGCCCATGGAAGGCTCTGAGGTACGTGGCTTGCACTGTAACAAACGCTGGGTTCCTGTGTGGTGGTGCTTGTTTGCTTTACACCATCACAGAAAGACCTGAAATTATTATTGGTCGTGGCTTTTACAAGGAATGGCATTGCACTGGGAAATAGTGAAGTTTCCTTGATTCAAAAGCTATTATGATGTGGTGGATAAAGTACAGTTAGCTGTGTCCTGTAGGGTGACTTGGTTGTGTTTGAGCTGTTTGAACTCCTGGTGGATATTGGACCGTTTCCCTCATCATTCCTTCCTGGAACAGTCAGTGGCTTGCTTTGAGTGTTTTGCTCAATTAACAGGGAACAGTTTCATCAAAAGGATTTTGGTATAACTTGGCTTCTGCACCTCGTTCTTTAGAAATGTCTTGCTTCACTGATCTCAGTATATTTGAAAACAAAAGATAAATGCTTTTATCTTGCTTTTATTCTATAAAAATCCGTGCATGTGCATTTACTCTCTGGTGAAGTGTAGCATGGCTGAGAAGACTGCTCAATAAATCCAATGCTTCAGAAGTGGAGTGGAAGTGGAGAACATATCTGAGACCTGTATGTCCTGGACAGGCTGTTAAAGCGAGACTCGCCATGGCTGAGGCTTGCAGCTCTGCACAGTTGGATGCAGGGGGGCTGGAGGTCTGGGTGGGCGAGGTGCCAGTAACCAGCAGTCCAGGGTGGAGGCAGCTGTGCTCATAGCTGTGCGTGGTGGGGGAGACCAGCCATGTTATGTTTTCATGCTTTGTGTCCCTGCTGCTGTTCCAGTCCAAAACTTCTGATGCCGTTCACGTGCTGAACCTGTCAGTGGTCTACATGTGGGCTCCTGGGAGAAGCTGGACTGTGATGTGCTCCCCAGCAACTCTTTCACTGTTCTGCAGACACAGGTCTTTTGGAGTGGCACGATGGGCATAGTGTGCAGTTGTCTTATCTTTGGCAGCATCAGCTCTCACTGGCACACTTGCCTCTGCAGCTATTGCTTACCATGGTGATGCCCTCTCCTTTTCAGTAAGTCAGCTCGTAAGAGATTGCAGAAGGAAGGAGCTGGCTGCTCTCTGGATTATGGCAGTTACAATATGTAAGCTACAGGCTTGTGTTGAGAATGGTGAGATTGTAGCATGGAGGGAGACCTTGGTAAGAGAGAATAGATGGTTGTGCTATGTTTGTTTAGGGACTGGAAAGGCAGCAGGTCCAGAAGATGTCATCCTGAATGAGGTTTTTGGTGACCTATAGTTGAGGAGCTATTTTTTGGTAGTTTGGAACAAGCTAGATAAGAAAATTCTTCTTAATATTTCTGCAAAATATGGATTGCTTCATAGAACTTTCCTTTGCAATTTTGACCTGGGCAAAGGAACCTTATGAAGTTCAACAAGGACAAGCGTAGAGTCCCTCACCTGGGGAGGAATAGACCCTTGCACCAGTACAGGTTAGGGATTGACCTACTGGAGGGACTTCAGAGTCTTGGTGGACAGCAAGTCCACCATGAGCCAGCAATGTGCTCCTATGGCCAAGAAGGCCAATGGTCTCCTGGGGTGCATAAAGAAGAGTGTGGCCAGCAGGTCAAAGGACATTCTCCACTCCTTCTATTCTGCCCTAGTGAGGCCACCTCTGGAGTAGGGTATCCACTTCGAGAGACAGGGAACTACTGGAGAGAGTCCAGTGAAGGCTACAAAGATCCTGAGGGGACTGGAACATCTCTGTGAAAAGAGAAAGCTGAGAGCCCTGGGGCTGCTTAGCGTGGACAAGAGAAGACTGAGAGGGTATTGTAGCAGTACTTACCAATATCTAAAGATTCCAAATTTGCCTGGGCCCAATACTGGGCAACCTGCTGTAGGTGACCCTGCTTTAGCAGGGGGTTGGATGAGATGATCTTCAGAGGTCCCTTCCAACCCCTACCAGTCTGTGATTCTGTTGGTTTGAAAAATATTTTAAGAACAGTCATACAATGATAACCAGTCTTCCTGACCTTCAGGCCTCTCCTGTGTCTGTACAGTGGGATACAGAGAGCTGGAGTACCGGGGAGTTCAAGGCTGTGCATTCCCAGGTGTCCCAAGGCCTCAGGGTGTGCTGGGTGCTCCTTGCCCTTCCTTAATGAAGAGCCCAGTAGTGGCTGTGCCAGATGGACACGTCTCGGGTCACGTGCAAGCGCTTCAGCTTCCCAGCGCAGGCAGCGCGAGAGCTGCCACCCGACTCCTCCCTTCTTATCTATCTCTGGTGAAATGCAGCTACATGTTTTCAGATTTCATACTTTACTATTTAGCTATTTTAATAATTTATTATTGAGTCTGAGGTTGACAGAGGCAGGCAGAGTTCCTTAACTGGTACATCATCCTAAGAAAATTACAATAAAAGAGCAAGTGAGCTATTTCGTTGTCATACACTCTGAAGCATGATCTTGCATACCATTATTCAGACTACTCATGGTATGTAGTTGCTAGCGCAAGTCTGGGAAGAAGTGCTAAATCCTGGGGCAGGATTTAGTGTGCATTAGCAAATGGAGTATGTATCTAGCTCATCCCAAGGGTCAGTGTTGTGGTACTGTGTGCCATGTGGCCCACGTGTCACGATTCTGTTCATACCAGCATGAAAAGTTCAATCTAAGGTCCCTCTAGCTTGCTATCACCTGGTACACTGACCAGGAAGGTGGATTTTCCAGGGTTGTTCCAGGATTGTTGACTCTTCTGACTTAAAATTTCTGCTGTAAGGGTTTTAGGGGTGGAGGAAGATGGAATGTTCACACCATCTTTGGACTAGGTGGCAGCCAGTGTTATGGTCTAACTGAGTTGTTTGGTGATAACACTGTGCCATTGTTCTAATTGTTGTAATGACTTGTATTTTGTATTATTTGTGTCTCTTATTTTTGCTTAGTTAACTATTTTTCTTCTTTTTTTTTCACTTGCCTAGATGAGGGCTATTATCAAGGTGGAAAGTTTCAGTTTGAAATTGAAGTTCCCGACGCCTACAACATGGTGGTGAGTATTTGTCTTGGATCTAGTAGTTGGTATTTTAGATTTCCTTTCCAGGTAATAGGCTTCAAACTGGAAGAGGCTAGATTTAGATTAGAAATTAGGAAGAGGCTCTTCACTGTAAGGGTGGTGAGACACTGGAACAGGTTGCCCAGGAAAGCTGTGGATGCTCCATCACTGGACTTGTCCATGGCCAGGTTGGATGGGGCTTTGAGCAATGTGGTCTAGTGGGAGGTGTCCCTGCCCATGGCAGGGAAATGGAACTAAGTGATCTTAAAGATCCCTTCTAACCCAAACTATTCTGTGATTTCTTTACTTCAGAGGGAGCTTAGCATTGAGACTGAGAGACACTGGCGGCAGTAGAGTAGAAAGGTTGTTTCTGAAAGCAGAGGAGTTGGGTTTGCATTCCAGAAGATGCCTTCACAGGTTTCCTGATATTCTTTTATTTATAGTTGACAAATACATGGGACATGCCCTATGTGTTATAAAAAGCTCATGCTTGTAGAGGACTGTAGCATTTCTGAAACAGACATGAATTTCCCCCCTCCTTGTTTTGATAGTTGTGCTCTCCTTTCACAGAAATACTGGACAGGGATTATCTGCTCAAGCTGTTCTGGTTTTTAAGTGTTAAGGATCTTGGCTGTCTTTATTGACCTTCTCTTAGTATGTGTAGGTGTTTTAGGTAGTTTTTGAAGTTGGATGGGTTTGGCTATGGTTTTTTAAGTTCCCCTCACCAAAGAATTTCATGGCTGCCCTTACTGATTTATTTGTGGTTACACAAACACCCACTAAAAATACAAAGGTGGTCATTTAAGATTGACTATGTCCTTGTTCCGACTTGAATAAATCATGCCATCACATAACTGAGAAACGTGGCCTTCAATATAAAGGGACATATGTATAAAGACCCTGTCATGGTCTCTGCTATTTAATTTTTAGTCACCTTCAGTAATAGCAGTTTAACCACTATGGCAGCAGTGTGCACAGGGGAACATACGCAATATATACTCGTTAATTTGTTAAATTTTTGTGTTTAAGTTGTTCACCTAAACAACACTGCTTCAATGAAGTATTTGCTGTGTGTTAACAAGAGAGCTGCATGTTAATTTTGATTTAGATTTTTTTTGATCCTCAGCTGCTGTAGTTAAAGAATCTTCTAGTTTGTTACAGTTCCCTGCTCAGCACTGTCCCAAAATCCACAGCTAACGTTAATGAGATGTTTTAAAATTCTGAGCACCTGGCATTCGGTACAAAAGGAAAAGGTTTGCCTTTGTGCAATTTAGAAAACCAATGCAGTAGGTTAAATGTTGGATTATGACCAAGTTATTAATGAAAATGTGTATGTTCACAAACATTGAGATAATTAAGGCGACTGAAGCCGTTGCTGGCAGTGGTTGTGGTGGAGCCCCTCAGACCTGCAGGTGCTCCTCCAGCCCACCAGCGAGGCCGGGACATCGCACGTCTGCGGCGAACGCCCTCCCGGCGTGCCGAGCACCTTTCTGTGGGGAGCACAAGTACTGGACAAGGCTGGCAAGTCACTGTAGCCCTGCTTCAGAGCCTGCATCCATTTTCTAGCTAATGGTTCTAGCCTGCAGGAAAAAAAAAAATGCCTGTTTTTAAAACTACCAAATGCATAATTTACAGTATGGTTTCTGTACCAGTATCCTTTGATTTCTGTACCATGCTGTTGCCCAAATTCTCTGTTTGCTGCTCCTCTGAGGAATATTTTTTTTTTCCCTTCATTCCATGTAAGCAAGCATTCTGCTTCTGCGTGTGGAAAAGAACTGGACATGTAGAATGGTGGCATAGTGGAGAAGTGTAAGAATAAACTAAAGAGTCAAAGCTTGGAGTGTTGTGCGCTGTGGGCCGTGACATACCGCGCTGCCCAGGGACCAGAGCGCTGGGCATCGGTTTGGAAAGCAGCGTGTCTGCCAGCACAGGGAAGTGATCTGTCCTTGTGCTTCAGGTGTGGCTGACTGGAGTGCACATGGACATTTAGCACCTGGGCTATAAGCTTCCTTAGAGCAAAGGCTGAAGAGCCTGACATGTGGGAGGGATGGAGTTTGCTGTGAAGTGCTCCCTCTTTTTCAACAGCACACGGTTGCTTGGGGCTTACTCAGACTTCTCTACCACTGAGCTGCTCTAGTGAGTGTTAGAAGTGTTTATTATGATTATCTGTAAGGCAATAAAATATTATAAGGGTTCTTCCACTACAGCCATAAGTAACTGAACCTGTTTAAGCTGTTAGAGAGGTGAATAATTGCAGAAGCATCTGAGCTTGGGAACTGGAAAGGTTTCATATTTTTAGTGGGCTGTTAGCGGCCTGAGGACAGTTTGGATAGATCGTGCTACAGTGCTAGCAGTTATTGGTCACCTTATGCCTGTGTGTCACCCTGTGCTTTACAGAAAGGCTGAAGAGAGGTATGAGACCTCACCAGGGGCTTCAGCAGAGTGTTTCCCAAAGAAGGGAACTCTTCCAAGTCCTGCAGTTGTGCGTTGTCACATTGACTAGTCCGATGATTACATTTTTACTGTTGCTGATGTAATACTGCATTGGAGCAGGTATTGGTGTTGGTGGTGCTGAATAATCTCGTGGAACGGACCTGGTGGTACCTGTGGTCCATAGGTGACCTTTCTCCTACACCGCTGCTCTGTGAAGGCAACACCTAAGAAGCCACATGCCCCAGTAGTGGTTTTGAGTGACTTCAGTTAGTGCCCTAATGAACACTAGTGTGCAGTCAGCTTGATGTTTTCACGTTTACTCTCTAGTGTTCTCAGCTGAATCTCTTTCTGCCTGATTAAGGCAGACCTGAGATCTTTACCTTCTTTTTCAGTGGTCATGGGAAACTACTACAAAGAACTCTTTACGCTAAAAGTTATTGTTCACTCTTTGAACTCCCATGTTAGAAATGGGGCCAGAAAGAGGAATTCTGGTCATACTTTTTCTGTGGCACCCAAGTGAGCAGTCAGGAGATGCTTCCTGCAGCCCTAATGAAAGAAGTGGTTGGTCATGCTCCCAAGAACACAAGCATATAAACATGGTCCTTAATGGAGAGACCTCTGCTTTCCAAGGGCATCCAAGAGAAAAAAAACACCATCCTGAAAGAAGGACTTTGTTCCATACATGCCACAAAAATGTCTTCCTAAAGGAGTTTGTGCCCTTCAGATCTGTTCCTTTTGTAAGCATCTTGTACAGGCTGGTTGCTTTTTGGAGTCTTGGGAAAACCTGGTATTGCATCTGCAGAATTCTCTGCTCAGATCCAATCTCTTTCACCTCCAAGATGATTTTTTTTTTCTTTTTACAGCACTGTTTTAAAGGCATGCTATAAATGGAACCAGTAGGCTTGAGCTTTCAGTGTGTTTTGGCCTTGGTATAGTCCTTCCCATAAGGACTGTCCTTAGGAGCAGGGTTAGTTAATTCTGTAGTGTCTCCTCAAACTACCATGCCATTGAAAATACTAAAATCTCTAGTGGCAAACCTGTTACTTGGCATTTTAAAATATTATATGTGGTAGGAAACAGGACACTCATGAGCTTTTGTGTAAAGCAAACGTAAGTTTATTAGTGTTTGTGCTTACAAAACCTGCTGGGAATGTTGCTGTTTGTACAGACATCAGAGGAATGTATGAGACAGCAAGCAAAGTATTTAATGGTGTACACAGCAAATACCTTTAGCACCAAATGCTGCTGCTTGACCTCTGTGTCTGCAGTATCTGTTCCCCAGGCATGGCTTTTTTTGGATTGACCAGCTGCCCAGAAATAGATGTCAGTGGGAGATGGGAGCAAACGCTTAAGAAAAAGAAAAAAAAAAATCCAGTCACTGAAGGATTAATTGATTTTAAAAAAGCCCAACAAATAAGCTCCCTTGTTTTCTACCTTGAGGAGCAGCTGATGAAATAATGGGTGCTACAAGACTAGGGGCCTGGTGCTTTAAGGAATGGGACCTGATCAATAGTACAGATCTGGCTTAAGGTTCACATAAAGCTAAACTGACTGCTGCTGCAAGCCAGGCTTTGTTTGTAGCTCCCATGGTTCTGATGTATCGTGTTGTTGGAGTATCCAGACTTAGGGACTTTCTAGTTTACTGGTACTTTTCTGTGCCTTAGGCAGTGGTCAAAAACTGGGACTTGAAGAGCAGAGCTGCTAATCTGGGACTGTTTTTCTGGCCAACACATTACTTGTGGAAACAGCTGAAAGGGACTTGGTTCCTGAAGGACCAGATGTCACAATTAAGGGCCTTTTATCTACTACTTGGGTGACCCTGTTTATACACATCTTGGTTTGGAACCAACGGAATGAAAATGGGCTCAAGCTCCACTGTGCCTCCATCTGGAAATTTCGAGGCAGCGCAAAGAGGCTCAGAGACCCACAGTGCATGACCATGGCAGCTCTTGTGTTGAGATCCACTCCTACAGTAAGGTATCTCCTTTTCCACTTGTCAGGCTGGGTAATCCAGTCCATCAAAAGCACAGGACCATCTGGGTTAATTTTCCTCACCTTATTTCTCTGTATTATGTCCTTAGCTGTGTTTGGTGTTCAGTTTTGGCTGATCTCAAGAAGTTCCTCAGGAACTGGTAGGAGACAGTGGCAAGATATAGCTTGGGGGTGACTTGAGCTTGGTCTCTGGAATCTGTAGTCTTGCTAATGCCTCTTTTGGGCAATTGTTTTATATAAACTGTAAAGAAAAAACCTGGAGTCATAGTTGCAGGGCAGTTTACAAGAACGTTTTGGGACTATAGTGTCTAGAGAAAACATTTCCAAATTTCTGCTAGGAGCTCCATCCCTTCTCTAGGGAAGAGGCTGTGGGGTGAAAAATGTCAGTTGCAGGTCAGATAAAATACACCTGTATAAGTACATCCATCCAATTAGAGTGCCAAATTGTTCAAGATCTGAAACTGTTTATTATGTGCATTTATTGATTACCACTCCATAATCAGTCTTTCATTTAGGGAGAATAATGGAGAAGAGAGATTATTTAGTAGCTGCATTTTTAAAGAAATGAGACAAACAATCTGAAGCTTGTTCTCCAAAACTTCCACTGAAACTGAAGTTGATATATGTGTAATTCTCAAATGCTTGCAATGCTTTCTTGTAATGTCAATTCACTGGTATTCTGAAGGGGGCTGAGAATGGATGTGATATCAGACAGTTTCCATTATCAAAATTAGTGAGAGCCTGAAAGATCTGCTTAGGAATGGAGAGAAAAAAAGTGAATCCTTTGACCCTTGTGACCCCCAATTGAGGTTGGATCTACCTGTGCAGCTTTCAGTATCTGAGGTGAAGGAAGAGTTTGAGTGATGAAATAAATGGATTTTATAAGCTTTATTGTACAGAATGTCACACATATGAACTGGAGATGGCTGGAGTTATTCAAGTGAATCATCATCTCAAGGAAATCTTATGTGGATTTGTTGGCCCAAGGAAGACTCAAAGGTGATTTGGAACAAGCTCAAAGGAGAAGTTTTGTCTGAAGATAAATTTTGTGATAGTTCTGCATTTGTCTGTCTGACAGAGGAGAAAGGAGAGAGGAAGAGAAAACCTTTGTCTTGCTGTCAGGAATGGGGTTTTCTAATTTTTATCCATGAAAAACACTTTGATGAAAGGATGAAGGAATGGTTTTGTTTCCCTGATACAAAAAAATGAGACACCAATTAATTGATTTCTGACTATGAGGATTTGGGGAATATATATATATTTTTTTTAAAATTATTTAATTTGTGTAAAGCTGCTTTTTTCTACTTATCAATACATTCCCTGTTTGAAGTTGCATATTGGTAGAAATTTACTTTTATTTTTTATCTACTGGCATAGAATAAATACTGCTAATTTTTCCTTCTTGAGAACTAGACATTAACTTTCAAAACAATGTGAAGGTGTAGCTAATGAAAGGCTGTGCTGTTAGAAGTTTTCTAATAGCAGGATTAAATTTGAAGGTAAAAAGTTTGAGACTATTTTCTGTGACACTTAATTTTCAACAGTGCTGTGGTCCAGCACTAAGGCGGTTGGTATCACCTGAGTTATTGGAGAAGCATGAAATATGAGTGGAGAAAAGTCAGTGTCTACATTATAAATCTCAGATTTGTTGTGGTGATGGGTGTTTCTTCTTTTATTGCTGGGCAGATATCTCATGGGTAGCTCAGCACTATGTGTATTTTCTTCTTTTCTCCTTTTTCTTTTTTTATTCTTTTAAGGTGTCTTAGTTAAAAAAAAAATTTACTAAAAAGATAATTGGGACGTTGTAAAAACGATGAGACAAAACACATCATGCTGCCATGCAAGAGCAGCTGTTTGAGCTGTTGTGTCTCTTGGCTGAAGACTTTGTGGGAAGCAGTGGAGGAAAATAGCTCCACATCTATAATATGTGATTTAATTGAAGTTCTGAGAGGTACTGGTCTGGGCTGATGTATTCCAGTACACTTACTATAAGAAATCATCTGCTTGATTGAAAGCTGCAAATTGTAATTTGGAGAGCATGGATGGAACAATGTGCTGTTGCTAAGCTACCAGAATTTTTATGACCCACTCTTTATTTACTTCACAAAACTAGAGCAAACGAAACTGTTTTAAGAATCTGTATCTCAAGACCCACAATGGAACTCAGAAATTTGGTAATCTTGCCTGAAAATAAGTTTAGTGGCTTTTTAAGTTCGGATATGACTCACCCTCTTGGTGCTTCTTGTGATACATCCTATTGAATTGTGAACAGGAAGCTCTGCGTTTAAAAGAACCTGTTCTTTTGACGTAGTCATCATCATTGCATCCTCTGCTGGTTTTTAACAAGACCCTGATTTGGATGAGCCTTAGGGGGAAGACTTTTAGTAGTTTTCTATTTTAAATAGTTGTCTTACTGGTTAAGTGTTAAGAAACTGCATGACTTAGAATGTATCTCTGAAGGAGACAGGATAAGAGAGTAAATTTTCTTGGCATTCCTTAAAGTTACGTTTTTCTAGAGAAAAAGCCTAATAGCAACCCAGCTTCTATGAAGAGCTGAGAAAAGCTAAAAGGGCAGAGAAAACTGATGTAAGTCCTGTAGGGTATATTACCAGTGTCTTCAGCATGCAAACCTTGGCTGTAAATATCAAATATGTTTACCTTTTTTTTTTTTTTCAGTTTTGGGCTTGTAACAGTGATATCTTAATTTATTTTAAAGGATAACATTGTAATTTGTTTTTTCTCCTGTCAGCCTCCAAAGGTAAAATGCTTGACAAGAATCTGGCATCCGAACATTACAGAGACAGGAGAAATCTGCCTAAGGTAGCAACAATATTCTGTTTATTTAATCTGGGAGGTTTTTCTTTGTGATAAAATGTTGTATGTTATTTTTATGCTAGTATTTTGTAGCATCTGTTGAAAAAAATCAGTGGCATGTACCCTTAGGAACTTAGAAGTCTAAAAATATTTTTCTTGCCATGTGTTAGAGACTGTGTTAGATTTTGACTCTTCAGGATAAGACAATGTTTTGTTCTGCTTGGTTTAAAATGTAAACTCCAAACTAAACAAAACTTACTTGGGTCATTTTTTTTTTTTTCCTCCCTCCATAACTGAATAGTCCTCAGGCCCTGAGAGGGCTTAAGGCTTTACTTACTTAATGCCTGAATGTGTTGAATCCTTGAAAACCATTTGTACTTCATAAAGGAAGGAAAAAATGTTCCTCATACTTTGACAGTGACTATTCTATATTTGCCATTTGTGTATTTTAACAATGTCTGCTGTTAAGACACAAGTGCCAGTTATAAAACTGTAGGGGGAGTGTAAGTCCAGATAGAAAGCCCAAAAGCTTTGCTTTACCAAAGTGAGAGGCTTATGTTGTGGAGTGGTATTGCTTGGCAGTAGATGTTTGCTCTTCAAAATCTGTTTCTGAAACTTCATAATTTCAGTGTTTCATCATGAGTATCTGATGGTGAAATTGGCCAGAAACTAAACATAAGCAGAAGTGAGAAGCAGAACTGTCATTTTTCAAGTTACTGGAGCATAAAAGAAAAAGCAGATGAAGCGGAAGCAATGAACATAAGTAAGATTGAAAGCTGTTTTGAAAATCCAGAACAGTTGCCACTTTGTAGCAAATTAGCTTCTACAAAACAAAGATAAATTTTTCCTCTATACTTAAAAATCATTTTAATGCTGTGTTCAAGGTCCTGGTGGAAAAAAAAAAAATTAATGGGGCAGTCTGTCACACTTCATAGACAGCTCAAGCTTGTCAGCTGATAAGAGCTAAAGAGCTGCTATTGATGCTTTCAGCCACTGTGGTCTGCTCCATGCTTCTGAGAAGCTCCTGCTGTTAAAGGTTGATGGGAACCAGCCCGAGGAGCCCGTAGGGTGTTCCTGGTATTCAATAGTGCCAGACCGCAGCAGGATTACAGGCAACGAGGGCTGGCATACTTAAATTTACCTCACTTGGGGGCTGGAGGATTTAAAAGCACTGGAAAAAACACAGTCATCTGAGACTCCCTAGAAATCTAGTGGTCCACAGTTACTTTTGCTGTGTTTAGCAAATCTGCCAGGCCTGTAGTGTTTCTCGGTGCCTTCTGGACCTGTTGCATGTCACACAGCTGAACTTGTCATTTCACAGTAGGGAGACTGCTTTGAGGATCATGTTTTTACAGTTTAAATTCCACCAGGGTCCTTGTGGCTTAGTGGAGAAAGCTTTCATGTTTTGAGTCCAATAGTGCAAGGAAAGCAAATTGGTAAGTAGGCTGTTTGGAACGAGGGAACAGGAAACCCTAGACACCAAACAATAGGTAAAAGTTAAAGCTCCGACTATAGGACAGCATCTTCTGAGGTCAAATAAAGCCTCACATTGTAGAGGTTATTTTGTTTCTTATCTTACATTTATCTTTGATAATTAAAACTATTTCATGTTGGAACACCATAATTATAACAAAGCAATTTTTTTCAGCAGCCATACTGAAATGTCAGCTGTATTTGATTGCCAGGTACTTCAACATATCAAACCTTTGAAATGGCTTACTGTTTAGATGGAAAAACTAAAATAACTTAGATTGCTTCTTGTCTGTTATAATGGAGAATGGACTCTTTATATAGTACCTGCACTCAACTTCCACAAGAGTCTTTACATTAAAATAGCTTCAGTTATTTTTAAAAGCAGAGAAAAAATTCCTTATGGGTATTTTTCCCAACTGTCTTTTACTAAACATACCTTATGCTATAGAATGTGTTGGTTTGATAATTATCCTCAAATTAAAAGATACCAAATGATGAAACTTGTGGTCAAGTGTAATAGTTTTGGGCAAGAAAAGTGGTGTTTCTCTCTGCTTTATGGATTGCAGTTACTCTGGCCCATATTAGTAGTGGACCATGTTGGTTCGGTCTGGCCCATCCCTGTGGGTATTGCATCCACTGCACGTGTGGACAGTAAATATCAAGATATATTTGTGCTTGGTTATTGCATACACCAATTGACTGCTTTTTGTCACTGACTATTTTTCTTTTCCCCCCCCGTTGTCAATATGATCTTCCTGAATTATTTGGTTTTGTAGTTTCCTCCTTGGCTGCATAAACTTTTAGAATTGTTTAATCACCCAGAGATTTCACTGCTGTGTGGTGAGGTGGTCAGTGTTGTTGGATGTGTCTTTTTTGGCAGTAGGTGTTGGTAGTCAAGGTTTGGTTGCTTCGTGATGCAATATTAAAGGCTGCTGAATGGAGAAGTGTTTGAAGACGAATTAATTGATCATCTGGTATAGCTCAGTGTTGCAATTTCTCCAGTTACAAAAGCTGACTATGTTAGTTGCTTGTTTTAGTTCCCCAGTGCTCTTCCCGGTCTCCTCAGCTGTGCCAAGGTGGAAACACAAAGCTCTTTAGAAAGGCTTTCTACACCAGTTGTTCCATTCACCCAGTCTAGAGTGTGTCTTCCAAAATGTTTGCACTGGTGCTGCTGGGTTGGGCAGGGAGGTGGGAGAGAAGGTAAATCCCTGTAATGTGTACCTGCCAGGGGAGGGTTTCTGAAATGAGTTTGCAGCTGTTTTAATTCAAGGTTATTTTTAACAACACTTTCTGTTGGCAGAAGGAAGGCAGAAGTCTTTTTGGAACTGGTGTTTTATGTGGATAAATGTGTTTATCAGGGATCTTTACATAAAGTGGGTTTTCTCCAGGGCTACTCTCCCATTTTTAGTCATTTAAACTATAAATCATGTCGGATGGAGTTTCAGAAAGTTTTAAGCTTGCTAGAGCCACACAGTTCCCAGTTTAGTACATGTTTTTGCAAGATCTCTTTAGGTTGGTGTGTATCTAAAGAGAGAAAAATTCCTCAAAGCTTTTCTCCTTGCAGGAATTATTCACAAAATGAGAAGATATTTGTGGAAAGGAAAGCAGAGCAGCTGGCTGGTCACATCAGTGGCTGTTTTGGTTGCTGTAGCTTCAAAAATAGTCATTTTGCAGTCTTCCCATAGGAACACAGCTATAAGGATTTGAAACCGTGTTCTGGAAGATGTCCTTAGGTAAACCACCAGATATTAAGGTACAGTTCTCAGTTCCAGTCCCCCTGTGACTGACACTCAGCTGTTCTGAGACCCTACAACAGCTGAAGACAAAGCAAGTGGAAATAGTGTTTCACTGTTCTTCACTGTTCCAGGTGAATTTCTTCACCTGGGAAGCTCCTGCTGGTGCCACAGCTTTTGTCCTCCTGTTGATGCTGCTGCTCTTCCCCCAAGGCACTCACCAGTTTTAGTAATTCTGTGCTGCAGAAACAGCAGTGGGTTTACCTGTCTCTTTATTCTTGTAGATTAATTCTCAAACATCACAAGGGAAGCTTCTGAATATTTGTTCAATCTGAACAGCACTAGATGAACTTTCTGGTCCATCAGAAGCAAACTCCCAGCAATTTTAATAGTCACTTCAAGTAAACAGATCTTCCTGCCCATCAGGTGTGTTGAAAGCTTGGTAGAACAGGTGGGTTTTGTGGTGTATCTGGCAGCTCATCAAAAGCAGACTCTTGAAGCATTGGGTGGTGGGTGGGAGCTCCTCTGTTTCCACTCAAACTCTCTGAATTGAGAACTTCTTAGTAGCCCAGCTCTTCTATGGCACCAGGATACGTGGATGACAACAGGTCTTTGAACAGTAGCTCCATGCAGGTGCTTGTTCATCCACTTAACTATCTCATGATGTGTTTTGTGTATTTGGACTCATTTGGGTGTCTGTTCCCCTGTGTGTAAGATGCTCTGAGAGCAGATCACCGTTCAGACCTCAGAACTGTCTGGCAGTTATCCAGGTTATTCCCACGGAGAGCAGGAGATGCAGTTTCTATAGACCCTGTGCTGGTGAGATATTTTGATTAGAGGCCTTATGATCATTCCCAATTTTTAGGAAGAAAGAGGATGCTGCTCCAAAAAGGGATTATTTCAGCAAATTAGAAACACAAATTAGGCAAAGGTAGACTTCTTTATCTTCATTGCTTTTCTGCCAGACCTCCTGGAGGGCTACGAGTGTCTGTGCTTAAGTCTTGGAGGTTGATGTCCCCACTCAATCTTTGGGAAGCTGGAAGGGTGTTAGTGAGGCTTAGCTGATATGCACAGGCACTTTGAGCTCAGGCAGTGGATACTTTTAGGCTTTTTGTGTTTGTTAACTTACTTCTCTTCTTTGCTATATGAAGAGGCAAAGGGAAGGAATGCAGCAAGATTTTATGAGCAGACAGAAAGCAAGCTAAAAAGTCTGTTAGATGCTCAAAACCTGAAAATTCTGTCTCTTGCAATTTCAGCAACATTTTTTGCATTTACTTTATTACATGAACAAAAATTGCAGCCATGAGATGTTATTTTTAATGTTTTTGAAATGAGTTTTGAGCTGCACTAGTGATAATGGTGTATTTTATCTTTTTAAAGGCACAGTAATGAGATTAGCAGTACAGTTAAGATAGAATGGTCTTGTCCAGTATGATCATCCTGTTCATAGTTTCTCTGCATTGAACCAAAGGCTAATGCTAGTCATGATATATTTCCTTGGATTAAAAACTCAGCACATTCAATAAATAACTGTAGGGATAGCCTATATAGTCCAGCCAGCTACTGTAATTTAAAAATGACTGAACACGTCATCCTGAAAGTTGGTAAAACCTAAGTGTTTAAAACTATTTCACTTTAACCCTGTCATTTCAGTACTGGGAGCTGCTGGTGGTGATGAATTGTTGTGCTCTGCTACTTTGTATGAGTTTCCAGTTTCAGATTACTTCTTAACAGAGGAACACCTGATTGTGAGAGGAAACTTCAAGGAGTTTCCTCAGACTTCCTCATTCAGGTTATTACTTCTTGCTTTCACAAATGTGAGCAAGTCTTCACCTTATTACTCAGTCATGCTCTGATTGCAGATGCTTTTACTTCTCATAACTGCTGATGTTTTGTCCTGAAAGGTCCAGGAGTGCTGAGCTAACTGATACACCTCTATGATTTCAACTTGTAAATAGGTCGACAGTGTCACTGGACTTGCTATGTAGCATTATATGCAGATCATATGAAATTTCTATATGGTATGTGCATGCAAAGCAGAGGCTGTATCTTATTTATTTTAATATTCATATGTATTTGTATTAAAATTCAAGACCATGTATTATAGTTTATAAGGACCTCTTCCTCATGCAAGCAATCTCTCTTGCTCAGAGTCATCTTCAGTGTGATTTCCAGTTGGCCATACATGCTGTTGAGTTGGTCTGTAAAGCCTTAAAACTTCCTCCTAAAAGAGAGGATGATAATCCTCTTGCTCATTCCACCAAAAATATCTTTTTTTTTTTTTGAATGCAAACGTGTAGATTCGATGAGAGGTCATTCTGTAAACCTCTTTTTCTCCAAAAATTAACATATTCTGAACTGGAGCACATGTGTGCTCAGGGGAAAATATAGGTTCAACGTTGAGGTGGTGTCACAACAATTTCTGTCACACTTACTTTGCTTGATGAAAATAATTCAGGTTTTTTGACACAGGTTGAGCTCAGATTGGGAGATCTGTAATGATGCTGTGTAGGATGTAGTTCAAGGAAGGCGTACCAGTTTCTGTGCTTTAAAATGCCAGTACCAGATACAGTGGAAGAGGACTGTAATTCTTACATTGCAGTTGCTTCCTGAGTGCTTTCTGTTTTCTGAGAAGGTTTCTGATGATGGTTGTTTAACTAGAAGTTGCACTGTATAACATGTGTGTCTTTTTTTCCAGTTTATTGAGAGAACATTCAATCGATGGCACTGGCTGGGCTCCAACTAGAACATTAAAGGTACTATTTCCTTTTAGATGTGTATGCTGAACTAGATATATCCTTTTAAATACCTTTATGGACTTGGAACAAGATAGATAATGTGGTTTGCTCCACAAACAACAGTTTTTGTCCTTTGACAAGTGTTGGCAGCAATGCTGAAACAAGTAGAGTGCTAACTGATTATGGAAGTGTTTGCTCATTTTACCATCGCTGCACAAATACTGCTTTGACTGATAAAAGGTTTTGTAGAATGGTGTGACTGCAGGTGACCATGAGAAACCATGCTTGGTAAGGGTGGTCTGCTTTTTGTTACCCAGATAAAAAATAGGAGAGCATGATGTGAGCAGGACTATCAGTAATCCATAACTCATCTAATTTCCATCGTATCAATGGTCTGTTTTGGCCACTGGCAAGCTCCTCTCAGTAGAGAAACTTGGAAAAGTGAAAGGCAAGTTGGATTTGGGAGGAACACTGTGTGGAACAGAATCAGCGTGGTTACTTCTCTGTCTTGAATTCTGTTTCTTCTTTGGTGTACAAAGGGGGGAGCAGCATATCTGCACTTGGGTATCATACAGAGCAGGGCATTCTTGGCTGTTCTAGTCCCTCTGGTAGGGACCTGCCTC